GCCAGAGCTGGGCCGGGCCAAAGCCAGGAGCCAGGAGCTTCAGCCAGGTCTCCCACACGGGTCAAGGGGTCAAAGCACTTGGGCCATCCTCTGCTGCTTTCTTAGGCACATTAGTGGGGAGCTGGTTTGGAAGTGGAGCAGCCAGGTCCGAAACTGGCACCCATATGGGATTCCAGTGTTTGCAGACAGCAGCTGAACCAACTGCACCACACCGCCAGCCCCCAAAGCCTTATATTTCTAACTCTTCCTCTCCAATTTTATACCTCATTTTTGTTTTTAATTGACAAATAAATTTATAAATATTTATGAAGTACCACATGAGGTTTTGATATGTGTAGGCATGGAGAAATGACTAAATCTAACTAATTAATGTATCCATTAGCTCACATACTGAGTTTTTTTGTAGTGAGAACATTTAGAATCTACTCTGTAAGCAATTTTCCGGCACACAATATTTTGTTATTAGCTACAATCACCATGTTATATAATAGATCTCCTAAAATTATTCCTCCAGTCTGGCTGAAATTTTGCATCCTTGGGTACATATCTCTCCACCCCTTCTACACCCTGTCCCTGTACACACCATTCTGCTCTCTGCTTCCTGGAGCTTGACAGCTTGATTTTTTTATTCCACACACAAGTGAGATCATGCAGCACTGGTCTTTTCTATGTCTTGCCTATTTCACTTAGCGTAAGATTTCAGCCATGTTGTTGCAAATGACAGGATTTCCTTCTTTTTTGGAAGCTGAATAGTATTCCATTGTGTGTACATAGCCCATTTCTGTTCTCCACTTATCGATGGACACTTGACCACTAGGAGGAATGTTGCAATGAACATGGGAAAATGCAGATATCTTTTAACAGGCCGATTGCACTTCCTCTGGATAATATCCAGAAGTGGAATTGCCCAGTCGTAGAGTAGTTCTGATATGGGAGAACCAGGCAGGAAGTTAGTTAGGAATAAATATGAGCGGAGAGATTTTTCCCACACCTTCAGTCTCTGCAGCCCTGCACTGTAACTCCACCCTCTTTGTGTGTCAATCTGGTACTCTCCCATGCTGCACCTGTGTCTCACCCAGCACTGAGAAGGAGGAGCCGCCATGATGAACACACGGAAGTTAAGTTCCATGTTGAGGTGCCAAGAAACTCACACTAAACCCTGCCCAAATCCCACCTCGTTTGTGTATTCCATCAGGGGACCACCCCCTACCCCACAAAGGGAACTGCTGCTCATGGGAGGGGCCCCTTTGGCTTCTTGCCCTTTGCCCTTCCTTCTCTTGCCCTCTCCCACACTCTCGCTTCATAGGCATCTCTCTGGTCCTGTGAGGTGGCTCCCAAACATCTGGATGTATACGCCCTCTCTCTCTATAAATCCCGCTCTCCTTTGTGTGCCTTCTGTAGGCTTCTGCATTGAACTCTTGTCGCACGTGAGGGCAGGAACTTGGAAGCACAGCCCCATAACGGTCCTGTCTTTAACTCCTTGACCCCTTCAGCTGTTCTCCATAATAGCTGTGCTAACTGAAATGGCTACAAAGGGTACCCAAGGATTCCCTTTCCTCCCCACCCTCACCAATGCTCACTACGTCTGGTATTTTGATAACAGCCACCAAAACAGATGTGAAAGAATATGATAACGTGGTTTCAATTTGCAGTTCCTGGATGATGAGTGATGCTGCTTGTTTTTCTTATGTTGGTGGGCATTTGAGTGTCTTCTTTTGAAAAATGTCTTGGGAGGGGGGCCTCCACTCATTTTTGATTGGATTACTTGCTATCTGACTATTGAGATCTGTTTATGTTTTCTTTTATTTATTTTAGCCCCTTACCAGATTGTGGTTCTCAAATATTCTGTGGGTTGTCTCCTCATTCTATTGTGTGCTTGTGCATGTGTATGCATAAACCTTTTAGTATGATTCAACTCCATTTGTCTACTTTTGCCTGTGTTTTTAGGGGCATAACCAAAGAAAAATTCTTTGCAATGATCAATATCAAAAAAGTTTTCCCCGTGTTTCCTTCTAGTACTTTTACTATTTCAGTTCTTACATTTAAGTCTTTGGTTTGACATTGACTTGTCATTCCTTCTTAGTTTTTCTAATCTTATTTTGTTTATTTTTTTTTTTTTTGACAGGCAGAGTGGACAGTGAGAGAGACAGATAGAAAGGTCTTCCTTTTGCCGTTGGTTCACCCTCCAATGGCCGCTGCAGCCGGCGCATCGCACTGATCCGAAGCCAGGAGTCAGGTACTTCTCCTGGTCTCCCATGCAGGTGCAGGGCCCAAGCACTTGGGCCATCCTCCACTGCACTCCTGGGCCACAGCAGAGAGCTGGCCTGGAAGAGGGGCAACCGGCACAGAATCCAGTACCCCGACCAGGACTAGAACCCCGTGTGCCGGTGCCGCAAGGTGGAGGATTATTCTATTGAGCCACGGCGCCGACCTAGTTTTTCTAATCTTATTTTGAACCTCTCAAAGACATCATAAGAAGATTGGCATTTTCACTTGACTATTCCTTCAAACTGACTTAGAAAATTAACTAGGCTTAGTGTTTTCAGTAAGGAAAGACTTTTTTTAAACTAAAAATTTGTGCATTCAATAAACACAGGTGATTCCAGTTTGCTATCTCTTCTTGAGTTGGTTCTAGTCATTTATGTTTCTTATAAATATTGTGATTTCTCCTGAATTCAGATTTTTTGACATAAAGGTGCTCATTATATTCCATTTTCTCTTTAGAATTTCAATTCTACTTGTGATTGTGCCCTCTTAACATATCTGACACTGGTTTGGTTGGGCTTTGCGCTTCATTCATGAATTGTCTCAGTTTTGCTGAAGTTTATGAGTCTAAGGGCTAGTGTCTTTCACTTTATTCTTTCTCTGTACTTGGAAACAGGACCAAGTTAGGGAGCTATCAATGTAGACTCTGCCGTTCGAGACCCAGGGATCAGCAGGCTCCTGTAGACAGCTGGGATGTATGTCCCGCTCTGAGGTCCACTTGGCTTCAACAACTCAACTCTGCCCATGTGTTGCGAAGCAGCCACGGACGACGTGCCCACCAAAGGCTGTGTTCCAACAAAACCTCATGCAGTCAGGTGGCTTTGGCCTGCAGTCTCCATCAAGAGCTGGATCGTCCCTGTAAACCTGAGACCACTTCAAGTTAATGAGTGAACACTGGATGCTGCATAACACTTGGTTCCTCAGTCACACTAATCAAGCTGCAGGCAAGGGTTCATCACCCACAAGCATTCCCATCAACACAGAGCTCTGTGAAGAGTTCATGGGCGCTCCTCAGGCGTACCCGCTGCAGGTGTCAGAATCCCAGCTGTACGTGGGGCTCTCCAAATGCCATGGGACCTTGCTCAGGCCTTGGGCTGCTGCTTCTGTCGCAGGATGAAGCCTATGAAAGG